ACACCAGCCTGCCAGACAGCACTCTAAACTGCCTCGCAATTTTGGAATTATTTGCCCGCTCAGTTGCATGGTTGCGTGCCCTCCAGCAGCTAGGGCCATGGGCAAATCCCACCAGCATGGACTATCTAAAAAAGAAGCTGAGGAGTCAATGAACTATGGACAACAAGCTCCCTTCTGGCTCGGGCATGGGGCTCTCTCCAGCTCAGTTTGAAGCACGGTGTTAAGAATCAGTGCAGGTGAGCTCACGCCACTGCTAATCTCTCTCTCCCGGGTGCTTATGCAGCCCCATTACTATTGTATCTGTGCACCCGCCGCCCCGCACTGAGACGGGGAACCCGGGAACAGGAGCCCCGGCCGAGACGGCCGTCGGCCCGCCGCGTTCCCCGGCGCCGGGCGATGACGTCACCGAAAGCGACGGGGAGAGCGCGGGGAGGGGCGGGGCCTGGAGTCACGGGAGCACGCCGGCCCCGGCGTCCGGAGGGGAGCGGGACATTCAAAGGGCCCCGGACCATGGACCGGAGGAGGGGAGTGCTGGAGGCAGGACGGAGGAACCGGGCCTGTTGGGAGACCCTGGAAAGGAGAAGCGGTACTCGCGGCGGCTGAAGCCTCACCCGCGACAGGGACTCCGGGTGAGTCTATCCCCTCGCTGGGGGGAACGCGCCGAACACGGGAGACCCTGGAAAGGAGAAGCGGTACTCGCGGCGGCTGAAGCCTCACCCGCGACAGGGACTCCGGGTGAGTCTATCCCCTTGCTGGGGGGAACGCGCCGAACAACCGGCCGGGAAGAAGTGACCCAGGGCGGGGCCGTGGTCCCCGCGAGTGGAGGGTTTGGGGGGAACGTAACCCCCTCCACTGACTAGGGACTAGCGTCCCCGTCTTAGGGCCCTGGGTCGGGGCTCGGAGTGAGGGAGGGCCCGAGCCCCCTTCCCGGCGTCTGCGAGCCAGGGCGAGCTCCGGCAGCCCGCACGGTCGGCCGGGAGCTACCATCGGCCAGAGGGCCAAGAGCCCGATCAGCTAAGAAAGGACGAGGGTCACCCGAACTCGGGGGGACCACCAGGGCACTGGGTTACAGCACCTCCCAGTTTTTCATGTGTTTCTCCTCTCCACTGTGTGAGATAGGGAAGTGTTATTATCCCTGTTTTACAGATGGAGAAACTGAGGCCCAGAGAACCCAGAGAAATGACTTGTCCACAATCACACAGCCTGCAAAAGGCAGAAATGAGAATAGAACCCAGGAGTCCTGACTCTGAGAGTCCTACAAAGTCCCAGACAGGTGAAGGGTGGGATTCACAAAGGAATTTCGGCACCTAATTCCCATGAACTGACTTAGGTACCTTGATGAGTTGCCTCCTGAAGTCTCACAGGAAATCTGTGGCAAGGCAGAGAATGGAAGCTGGGTCTCCAGGCTAGTCCATGGGCCGCCAGTCAGGACTGCAATCACTAAGTGCTGTCAACCCGCGCCTATTGCCAGGGCTAAAATCCACGTAACAAATTATTATAAAACCTCAGAAAGGTAGCCATGTTAGTCTGTAACATTAACGAGGGCCCGGGCAGGTTAAAATGTCCCCCAACGGATTTCTCTGTGTGGCCTTTTTGGAGATCTGATTTGTGTCCATTGATTCTTTCTCGTAGAGACTGTCCAGTTTGGCCAATATCCATGGCAGAGGGGCATTGCTGGCACTTGATGGCATAGATCACATTAGTGGATGTGCAGTTATATGAGCCTCTGATGTGGTGGTTTATGTGGTTAGGTCCTGTGATAATATCTCTGGTACAGATGTGTGGACGGAGTTGGTACCGGGGTTGATTGCAGGGATGGGTTCCTGGATGAATATGATGGAGGTGTGTTGTGGGATTATTGGAAAGAATTTGTTTGAGGTTAAGGGGTTGTCTGTAGGCGAGGATTGGTCTGTCCCTCAAGGTTCAGGAGAGTGAGGGGTCATTTTCCAGGATAGGTTGTAGATTGTTGAAAATGCGTTGGAGGGGTTTAAGTTGGGGGCTTTGAGTGATGACAGATGGTGTCTTGGTATTTTGTTTGCTGGGTCTATCGTGAAGAAGCTGACATCTGGGTACTCGTCTGGCTCTGTCGATCTGTTTTTTCACTTCTCCAGGTGGGTATTTCAGTTTTAAGAATGCTCTATATAGATCCTGCAGGTGTTTGTCTCTGTCTGTGAGATTGGAGCAAATCCGGTTGTATCTTAGGGCTTGGCTGTAAACAACAGATTAAGAAATGTGTCTGGGATGGAAGCTGGAGACATGAAGGGAGGTGTAGTGATCAGTAGGTTTCCGGTATAGGGTGGTGGAAATATGTCCATCATGTAATTGTACTGTAGTGTCAAGGAAGTGAATCTCTCGTGTGGGACTGGTCCAGGCTGAGGTTGATGGCGGGGTGGAAGTGGTTGAAAACCCTGTGGAATTCTTCCAGGGTTTCCTTCCCATGGGTCCATATGATGAAGATGTCATCAGTGTAGCATAAGCAGAGTAAGAGTACTAGGGGGCGAGAGCTGTGGAAACGTTGTTCAAGGTCAGCCATAAAGATGTTGGCATATTGTGGGGCCATGCGGGTGCCCATGGCTGGGCCACTGACTTGAAGACACAAACGGTCTCCAAATCAGAAGTAGTTGCAGGTGAGGACAAAGTCACAGAGCTCTGTAACCAGGTGTGCAGTGCCGTCAGTGGGGATGGCGGTCCTGACAGCCTGTAATCCATCTTTGAGTGAAATGTTGGTGTAAAGAGCTTCTACGTCCATGGTGGCCAGGATGGTGTTTCAGGAAGATTACTGATGCTCAGTAGTTTCCTCAGGAAGTCGGTGGTGTCTTGAAGATAGCTAGGAAGGCTGGTAGCATAGGGGCTGAGGAGAGAGTCAATATAGCCAGTTAATCCTGTTGTAAGTGTGCAAGTGCTTGAGATGATGGGTCATCCAGGATTTCCGTGTTTGTGTATCTTGGGTTGGAGATTAGGGGGGGTCTTTGAGTTCATTTGGTCCTGGGTAGTATCAGGGAGTTTTATGAGCAGTCAGTTGTTTTAAGGTTTTTTTGGTATTCTTTAGGGGGATCAGAGGAGAGAAGCCTGTAGGATCTGGTGTTGGTGAGTTGTCTGTCAGTCTCCTGTTCATAGTCTGTCCTGTCCATGATGACTACAGCGCCCCCTCTGTCAGCCTCTTTGATTATGGCGTTAGAGTTGTTCTTGAGGCTGTGTAGAGCGTTGCGCTGTGCTGCAGCTGATCCAGAGGATGGAGTTCAGAAGCCGCCTTGAGCCTCGTATGAGCCCTTGTTAGTAACTAGGAACAAATCTAGAGCCGGCCTGAAATCCAGACCTTGTAGTCGGGGGCAGGAAGATGAAAGCGGAAGATGGTGCTAAGAGGGGGCTGGGCTAGGCAGACAGAGCCCTGAGCGAGGAGGAAGGACATGTAACTGGGGTACCAGGGGGCTGCCCGGTCCTGCCCCCTTGCTACGATAGGGCCAGACGTGGACACTTCCCCGGTTGACACCTCCCCCGCTCACGAGGCGCCTGCCAAGCCCTTTCCATAGAAAAATGGATTATTCTAGTCAGATTAATGGGCTTTCATTTTGCAAAACATCTGTCACCGTTAGTCCTGGACAGTGAGCGTGAAATTAGTTTTGACTGCAGGAAGGCTACGTTGGTGTGTACTATGTGACTAACATCCCAACGGCTCCGGGAGCCAGCCGGTGAATGAGAATTACCTGTTGAAGGAATCCAGGGCACATCTGTGCGCACAGGGAGAAGGGAGCGGGCGGGTGCTGGAGGAGTGGGAACGTGTATCTGCTGTTAGGTTTCCATAGCGCCCCTCACAGTGCCTCTGACCCCTTGTCCGTAGCCAAGGGGCCGGGCATACGTGGGTCCGGGAGTTGTTCCGAGAGGCAGGGTGTGCATGAGAGGATACACGGGAGGATGCTGCATCTCCCCGGAGCAATTCTAGGGCTTTCAAAACTTTGTGTTTGACCCTGATGTTTTGACAAGTTGGCTTGTGACGTCTCCTTCTGGCACAGTACTGGGAGGGCTGGCGGTGGTTTCTGCCGGGTGGTGCATCACACCACTCGAATGCCTCCGACAACCACAAAGCGACAAAGAGGAGTGGGCAAGTTCCAGGATCCTAAGCTCATTTTTCGGATTGGGGGGGAAAGGAGGCCCAGTGAGTGGAAGTGGCATGCCTGCAATCACACAGCCTGTCAAGGGCGGAGATGGGAATCTGGGTGCCTAGAGCCTGCAGGAGCTACCCGGCCATGCCTTCAGCAGTAACATGCAAAGTGGCATGTCCTTTTCCTCCATGCTGCCTCTGAGATGTGGCCAGGGAGAGTCACAGAGTTTAAGGCCGGAAGAGGCCACCAGTTGGGTAACAGAGCCTTTCATGTCTGGGTTGTCACTTTTATCCAAGCTCACATGCAGTCCTGCAACGGGGTGATCATATAAGTAGGTGGGGGAGGGGGGAACTTACATGGATATTTCCTGTATTTTATACATTTGTGTGGAAGTTACTTAAGTTACGCAAGGTTTCCACTGGGGCGTTTGAAACCGGAGCCAGGCCCCAGCCTGAAGACAGATCTCTACCATCTAAGAGGTAGTTATGGAAATGCACTGAAAACAGATCCAGCAAGATGCAAGATCCTTACTTGAGAGAGTGGAAACCCATCTTTGTCTTGTCCTTGTGTGCCCCATCTGTCTCTACACCCCCCTTCCTCCCTTCCACCCATCCAAACAACCATTTTTAATGCTTGTATCCACCCGCTGTTCATTTGTTCATTCACATCTCTATCCCTCCTTAGTCTCTGCCTTTGGCCTTATTCCAGGTCTACATCTGCTTATTCTGACCTCTGTTTATTGCCCCATCATCTTTTCATCCACATTCCTTCTTTCCTCTTGGTTGTCCTGGTCCCTACTTGGATGTTTCTCTACGTGGAGGCAGTTTGTGGAGAGGATGGGGGAGGAACGCATCTGAGAAGGGCTTTGCAGGTCTGAGTTGGCTCTCTTGTGTCTTCCAGATGTACATCCAGACCACGACGCTGACCATCTCGGTGAGCCTCAGCGCCTCGGTCTCGCTGGGCATGCTCTACATGCCCAAGGTGTACATCATCCTCTTCCACCCGGAGCAGAACGTCCCCAAGCGCAAACGCAGCCTCAAGGCGGTGGTGACGGCCGCCACCATGTCCAACAAATTCACTCAGAAGGGAAGTTTCCGACCCAACGGAGAAGCCAAATCGGAACTGTGTGAAAATCTTGAAACACAAGGTAACGCCCGTCCACCTGCCTGGCCTGGCCGTCCCGCTGTCCAAGAAGCCAGCCCCAGGCTCCTCAGTGGTGCATGGGCTGCCACTGGGTGATGATGGCTGATCTGTTTGACTCTGTGAAAAGGATGAGCTTGTTCCTTTGTAATGGGCGACATTCAGCCCTGGCCAGAGGGGCCAGCACAATGCTTATGTGTCTCCAGCCACCCCTGGACTTGTCATTTAGGGTACGTCTAGACTACATGGCTCCGTCGACGGAGCCATGTAGATTAGGCTGATCGGCAAAGGGAAATGAAGCCGCGATTATTTAAATCGCAGCTTCATTTCCCTTTGCCGATCAGCCTAATCTACATGGCTCCGTCGACGGAGCCATGTAGATTAGGCTGATCGGCAAAGGGAAATGAAGCCGCGATTATTTAAATCGCAGCTTCATTTCCCTTTGCCGATCAGCCTAATCTACATGGCTCCGTCGACGGAGCCATGTAGATTAGGCTGATCGGCAAAGGGAAATGAAGCCGCGATTATTTAAATCGCAGCTTCATTTCCCTTTGCCGATCAGCCTAATCTACATGGCTCCGTCGATGGAGCCGTGTAGTTTAGACACACCCTTAGTGTTTCTGTGGCTCATTTCCCTGCCTAAATAGCATCCCTTTAGTTCACAGCGGTGTTGTGAAGATAAATGTGTTAAAGATCATGAGATCGTGGGGGAGCCATTTAAGATGGACAATGCATGAGAAGTCTATCCTAACCAGGGCCTCTTGTGGCTGCTGTAGTATAAATATGTTAATAATCTAGTAATTTTTATTATTTTGATTACTAATGGTGAGTGGGTCCAGGCTGCAAAGGTGATCTGGGTTTTACACTCCTCAAATTTCAGAAGCCAGGAATTTTATTCTGATCTAGCTGTAATATAGGGTAGTTTTAAAGCCTGGCCAGTTGTCATGTTGTATTTGGTATGATTGTGCAGCACTGCTAGGCTACTGATCGGTGCCTTTTCATTGTTTCCTTATGTAGCCCTATCGGTGTGTATTCACCTGTTGTCTCATGTCACAGAGTGTCACTCTGTGGGGCAGGGACTGTCTTTTTGCTCTGCATTTGTACAGTGCTGAGCACAGTGGAGTCCCAATCTATGCTTGGGGCAGGCCACACTATAAGCAGGCATGGCCCTAGACTAGCTGCCAGCCACTGGCGCCTTAGGCGAACCATGCAATCGGCGCCCCCACCTCCAAACCCCTCAATGATATTGTGCCACCATTTGGCGCCCCATTTAACTTGGCGCCCTAGGCTGACTATAAGCAACAAATAATTAAGTTTCCACGTACGTGCCCAGAGAGGTGCCCTGCCTGTGCAACGTGCATGCAGCCCGTGCTGCCAGGCCCAAGATGCACATGCGAAGTAGGCACGCTCCAAAAATGGGTATGACTTTGTTTCCATAGCAACCCTCCCTCTGTTATCCCCTGGGATGGGATCCTCAGAGCACTGGGAAGAATAACAAACTGAGGCTAATCCCAGTGCTGGGGCGGATTGGCAGCACTGCTCAGTAGTCGCAGCTCTCTTGGTCTTCGCGGGGGTAGGTTGTGGGTGCTTGATGCTACTGAAAGTCAGGGCTCCCTGCGGGAAGACTCCCTGATCCAGTTCTTCCCGGTGCTGCAGCTCAAGACACCATTTGCACAAGTGCAGAGTGTGGAAAACACCAAGGCAAAGTAGGTTTTACACTCTGCACAGGTGTGAATGGTGCATGGGAGGCTCTCTTTCTTACTGTTGTGTGGGGCATGCCCCAGGAGCTAGCTGCTCATAACCCTGCTCACAAGACAGAGGTGACGTCTGAGCACAGTCCTGGATGCTAAGGAGGCCAGCCTTGTCATCCCAGTGTTGGCATCAGTTCCCTCTGTGAACCTGCACAAACCACTTCACTTCTCTTTGCTTCTGTTTGCACACAATACTCAGGTGGGTTGGTTACTACTGGACAGCTCAGGGGAGAGCAGTGTTCTCTGTAAGCTGTGCACTTGGGCAGCCACCCCACGGAGATTCAGGTGCCAGCTGATTTGCAGAGCGCCTATAGGCAGCAGCATGTTTCTACTGGTGGTGCACCTCCACACATGCCTTGGTGCAGATAACAACAAAATTGATTCCATACATAGCTGTATTAAAAAAAATAGCAGGAAAGTTGGTGGAAAGGGAACTATTGCCAGTGTCATTTCCTTGGAGTTACCTATGGTCTCATATACTCACATCCTGCTATTGTCTGCTGAGCCACACACAGTACAGCCTGGGGATAGAACTTACCACCTTTGCCTTCATAATTAGCTCTCTAACTTCTAAAGCAAAGAACCCGCATTAACCCTTGTAGCTTCACAATATCCCAGCCAACAGAAGCCAAAAGAGCCGGCAACTCAAGGAGGACTGTCAAAATCCATCCAGTCATGAGCAGCTCAGTTCACGACTGGATAGTAACCCTCAAGTCAGCTCAGTTCACAGAGTAGCTTACATCTCCCTTACTGTAAATAATAGATGTTCTCTTTCTGCAGCATCCTGGAGCATTCCTGGGGCTTTCCTACTCTTCCTGGCAGGAGATACAGCAGGTGGCTACAAGTGCCGGTCACCTGGCCTGAAACTTGTTGGCAAAGCCCCCCAGCAGCAAGCGGGCATGCAAGGAGCCCCCCAACACCCTGCATTTGCACCATTACAATCCTGCTAAGGAAGACTTCCCCCACTCCTGATTTTTTTCCGATCCACTCTGCTCTTAGCACTTTCCAGCCCTCCGGCGGACCCCTCTTGTGTCCTTATCCCATAAAAATTGTTGTCAGGTGGCTGACAACTTCTGAAATAAGCGAGAAACTAACTAATGTTCTTGCTTTGTAAGAGGCATGGTAAATCGCTTCTGAGACTGGTTGGGGAAAGCCGGCAATGACTGCCCACCAAAGGGGCAGTTATAACCATTATACACATTTTAATGTAAGGCACTTAGGACGGAGTTGCTCCAGGAGGCTGTGATTTTGTTGAACGATAGCATGGCTGATTGCCAATGCTGACGTTGCTCCCTGCTGGGTGGGCTATTCACCCTGGGCTGCATTGGAACTAAGGGGATTGCGTTGTCTTCAGTGGAACGGCTTGCATGAAGAACTGCTCTCCAGTGGGAGGGAAAGGTTTCACAGCCTGGCTCTGGAGGATTGGGGAATGCAGCCAAGCCAGATCCGTGCTTTTTCGGGTTGAATTTGCAAAACCAGGAACTTTTGTGAGTGAGAAATGGTCGAAAACTGTGAAAGCTGCAGAATTTCAAAGTGTGAAATTCCATTGGGGGCACAGATCAGTTTTCACAGCAGAGGATCCAGAATCTTCCCACACACTCAGACTCACTTCTTAATTAACCCTCCCCATGCTCCTCTGTCTTACATGATTAGGTGCCTGCTTAACAGAGGCGCCCGGAGGTTGTGACTCCCTCAGGCTGTATCTTGTGTCAGAAGACAGGAATAACACTTGGAAGTCTGGACATTTGTAGCAGAAACAGGAATAACACCTGGAAGTCTGGACACCTTGTGCCTGCTCACTCCTAGGCACTGCTCCTTCTCAGCTTTTCCACCTTAAGGGCATGTCTACACTAGGAAATTATTTCGAAATAACTACATTTGAAATAATAACTCACGAAATAAGAAGATCGAAATAGCGTGTCCTCACTCCATGGAAGCCTCAAAAGTAGTCCGAGGGCTCCATTATTGTGGATGCACTACCTCGACATAGATCCCCAGGAAGCACTGGGGCGTATTTATTTTGAATGACTCTGAGGAGCAGTTCTTTCGAAATAGCAGCAGCGGAGCGTTCACATTACCGCTATTTTGAAATGAGTGTTCTTCCCCGAGGAAAGCAGGAGCACAGATTTTGAAATAACCAGCCTGTTATTTCAGAATAACAGGCTTGGTCGTGTAGACGGTCCAGTTGTTATTTTGAAATAAGGGGGATTATTTTGAAATAACTCCCTAGTGTAGACCAGGGCTGCAATATGAAAACCAACTAAAATCAGAGCCTCTTGTACCTGCCATGGGCCCTTAGTAGGAGACAATCTAAATAGCCCAGACAGAATTATTACCCCCATTTTACAGGTGGGGGACTGAGGCACAAAGTGATGAAGTGTCAGGATTTACACAGGAGCCAGGAACAGATCCCATTTCTCCTGAGTCCCAATCCATTGCAGGAAGCAACAGAACATCCTCCCTCCCTATGCTGTGAGGCAGCTGGGTGTGCCTGACAGCTGTATCCATCAGCTGTCTGAGGGAAGCACACAGCCGAGCGAGGCATGGCTGCCGTTGGCAGCCTCTCCGGCTCCAATGCGTCTTGCGTTTGGAATATGGGTGCTGAGCCGGTGTAGGACCCTGGCAGCATACCGCACAGCGGGGCCGGTCTCGGGAAACCAACTGCATTATTAATTTGAGGGACGGGAGCAACTGTGGGATTGTCAACCACAGGAAGGGAGAGCTGTTTTTCATTCTGTCACTGGCAGGTCACGTATCTTTAAATAAACAACAGAATAAATAATTTACAGGGCTTGATTGCGAGCAGATTGGCTATGAAAACATTGCAGCTAACAAATAGTGCTGTCAGCTCTAATTTCTTATGGCCCATCTAATTGTTATCTGAGGAGAACAGCGTCTGAAATCTTCAATAAGGTTCATTTGTCAAGGAGGCACCAGCACCGGTCGGAGAGGGAGAGAGAAAATAAATAAATAAGTCTCTGCCTTCCACAGTTGGCTCGGGCTGCTGGAGGGAAAGGGCGACCCAACGCCTGAGGGGGCTTGAGGGGCTGGAGGGTGGCGCCCTGCGGGGCTGAGGGCCGAGTACACATCACAGACACAGTACAGCTGCCAGCTCAGGGCAGTGATATCAGTGCAGTCTTGGAGAGCGAACCATGCGTGGGCTGGGGGGAGGCCCTGGGAAATCACTAAGGAAGATTTAAGGTGGGCTTTTAAAAACACAGTCGCTTGCATTTGCAGTGTGTGGGCGCGTACGCTGCTGTGTTTGTACAATTGGGGTGACTAAGAGCCTCTCTGTGCCGGCAAAGGAGGTGCTTTGGGCTGGCTGTAGTACCTAGGGGTCTCTCTCCGGTATCTAAGTGTCTGCCTGTCTCTCTCTGGTCTCTAGGTAAAACACAAAAGCAGTCATGTAGCACTGTAAAGACTAACAAGATAGTTTATTCGGTGATGAGCTTTCGTGGGGCAGACCCACTTCCGATCAGATCTGCTTGTCTGTCGTTAGTAGCCTGGGAATCGCACTCTCTCTCTGCTCTGTCTAATTTTGCATCAGAATGACCTAACCTGCACCTACACAATGGCAGGAGGTGGTGGTGGGAGTGGGGGGGACGGTTTAAGATGGAGCTCATAATTTGTGACCATCCTCTCCTGGTTTCACGCCTGCCGGGAGGCTTTACGTCAGCCCCATGGAGGTGCGGGGAGCCCCATGTTTTACGGGCTGGAGCGCTTAAAAATTTTCCCAGGGCATGTCTGTCTTCTCCCCCTCTTTGGTTTAGAATGGTTGCACCCATTCACTGAGGCCTGGTGGAGCTGGAGGGCTGCACCATATTTGCATAGACATTTACATAAATGCATTTATAATCTGTTGTCCCTGTGCATGCTCTAATGTTTACTTGTGTTCTTGGCAGGCGAGTGGGGACCAGCAGCAGCAGCTCGCGCTTTGAACTGCCCCCAGAGTTAGCTGGAGAGGGCAACTGAAGGACACAGTATAGCCGAGGGCTGCCCATGGCCAGTGGGCGACACATTGGCCATTGGTGGTTTACGTTGCTGGGCCGCCCAGCGTGTGTCTGCATGTGGAGATTAACGCCCTGGCCATGTGTGTCTTTGCCCCCCACTAGCAGCCAGACCATGTAAGAGGTTTATTAATGTGCCAAGTCCTCCATCCTAATAGACCTGCCCCTTTAGCGGAGGCACCAGCCAGCTAATTGGGGATATTTAATCTAGAGGCCTGGGCTGAGTCCCTGGAGATGAGCCACGGAGGAAAGCAGACCAAGTGCAGGCACCCACGCACCTGCTAGATAGAGACTGAAATTGCGATGATCCTAGATGGTGACAAGTGGAGATCTGTCCCTGGATTTAGGTTACTTGTCCTGCGTCAGGGGCACAGAGAACTGCCTTTGAGCTGTGTGTGGTGAGATAAACCCCCTGCTTTCCCTCTGCGCCTCCCCCCCTTTCCATCTGACTAATTCCAGCACCAGCCGGCTACCCTCAGTCCTCTGCACTCCTCCACTTCCAAGCGCATATTCTTGGCTGTATCAGTTACTGCACAGCCCCACCTCTGAGATAGCTTAGTAGTTGATCAGAGGGATGATGGGGGCAGGTAGGAGGAGGCTGATGACCAGGAGGGAGGTGGGGGAAGGCTGGTTCACTAAGGCTGATCTTTTTCAAAGGAAAGGTCAGCGCTGTCTTCCTCCAGGTGGAGATATTTCCCCTTAATGCTGCAATTGCGGGCTGGTATCAGGGCATAGTCACATGAAAATAATCTCACTGGATCCGAGAACTTTTCCACAGACCTTCTTCTCATTAGAGTCCCTCTTGAAAACAGAGCAGGTCACTTCACTCTCTCCCCACACGGGACAAGTAACTAGCCTCCAGTTTGTTCCATAAAAGGAGGTGTTTCCAATCCCTCCTATACCCCTAGCATTTAGAGGAAGGGCTTTGAGCAAGAGGGCTGGGGTCAACTGACCTCCCTCTGTCCAAGTCAATGAAATTGTTCATTGTCCCTGGCCCAGAACTGCAATCATCGACTCCTCCCAGGTTTGGAAATTCGGCTTTAGGTTCATTCCCTTGGACACTGGAGCTGGTTCTGAACCAAAACCTCAGGTTTGAACGATGGAGCTTAGTTGGTGCAGCTTTCACTTATTCCAGTTTAACAGCAGGGTGACATCATGGTCTGGCAGCGCTGACCCGGCCCCGCCCCTTGCACCCAAAACCTCCCCACCTCCACAAGAGCAGTTCTGGGGCCCCTCCCTCGCCCAGGGGCCCATCGAGTCTGCCTGCTCGCCTGGCCCCGGGGGTCCCTTACAGCTTGCGGTGAGGGGGTGGTGCGGGGTGCCAGCCCTGTGTTGCCTGGGTGCAATGTGCCTGCCACAGGGGCTAGCACAGATGTAGCCTCATTGCCACACCTGCAGCCACCCCAGTCGAGCCAGACCCGAACCGCCAGGGACGACCTGACTCTCCGTAGCCAGGGCTAGTTCAGGGGAGGCCTCCACGCTGCAGGCGTGGTTCTGTGGGGCTCCAGCATGCTGTTCGCTGCTCTCAGTACAGTGCGATGAGGGTCAAATACCGGCTGCTGCTTGCTGGGAGCTCTGCGGCTTGAGATCCCTGGACTGTCAGGATGTCTCTCTTTATCGCTGGCAGCTAGAATGTGTCCAGGGCTCCCCCCTCATCCTGTTTACCATGAAACCTCCCTCCACTCTTCCCTTCACTCCCTCCACAAACACGGGCACCTGTTCTGGGTGCTCTGTTCTCGCCCTATCTTTGGCATCCCTAGACTCCGCCCTCTGCATTCTGTTGGAGCAGGTGGAGGGAGAAGGTCTCCTGCAGCATTTTGGGCCTTGTAGAGCCGGGGTCAGCTTTGAGGAGGTGCTGAACCTCTGAGAGTCTCAGGTCCAGCGGGGGGAGTGCATTTCTAGGCCGTGGCTCATGGAGCTGCAGAACTGATGCCGGGTGCAGCAGGGTTTCTCTCATAGGTGAGGCGCTCAGAAACTTATGGGTGCTGGAAGCCGGGGTGCTTATTCCCATTTATTCGGCTCTGGTGAGGCCACATCTGGAGTATTGTGCCCAGTTCTGGGGCCCCATTACAGGAAGGTTGTGGATGCGCTGGGGAGAGTCCAGTGGAGGGCAACGAAAATGATGAGGGGGCTGGAGCACATGACCTGTGAGGAGAGACTGAAGGATCTGGGTTTGCTTAGTCTGTGTGATGTAGTGTTGGTACCTTGCTGGTTGCTAGGCTTGGGCTGTGGGTGACCCCCACTGGCTGCTGTCTGTACCACGGCCCAGCCGAGTAGCTGATGGGTCAGGAAGGTAACCTGTTCGACCGGTTACCTCTCAGGGAGAGGAACAAAGGAAGGAAGGCGGAATGGCTGGGGGGCAGGGCTGCAAGTTGGGCAATTTCTGTCTGGAATCATGGAGGAAGCAGCCTGAGCAAGGGGGCGGTGATTTAAGGGCCCAGTCTCCCCCATCTCAAGGGGGGGTGAGGCATCATAGGCCTGCACTGTACCCAGATTACATCTGTGCTGTGCTGTATCCTGGAGAAGCAATAAACTTCCCCCATTCTACTGGCTGATGGAGTCTGTTCATGCCACTATGGGGGTGCAGGCGTCGGGGAACCCCGACGCCACGTCACAGTCTGCAGAAGAGAAGAGTGAGGGGGGATTTGAGAGCAGCCTTCAGCTTCCTGAAGGGAGGTTCCAAAGAGGATGGAGAGAGGCTGTTCTCAATAGTGACAGATGGCAGAACAAGGAGCAATGGTCTCAAGCTGAAGAGGGGGATGCCTCGGTTGGACATTAGGAAAAACTATTTCCCTAGGAGGGTGGGGAAGCACTGGGATGGGTTCCCTAGGGACGGAGTGAAATCTCCATCCCTAGAGGTGTTTAAGTCGCTGCCTGGGATGATTTAGTTGGGGTTGGTGCTGCTTTTAGCAGGCAGTTGGCCTCGATGACCTCCTGAGGTCTCTTCCAACCCTAGGATATTATGCCTTCAAGTAGCAATTACACCCAATTACGTGGTTTCCACCTTCAGCCCCCCCACTATAAAACCTGTTTTAGCACCACTGCAGAGTCCAATCCTTACCTCATATTCTTACCCAAGCTCTAGTGGTGTGAAGGATGGTTCAAGGTCATGGTACGGGAAGGCTTCGTTAATGATACATATGTAGTTTCTCTCTCTTTGCAGCTCTGGCTACCAAACAGACTTATGTCAGCTACAGCAACCATGCAATTTAACTCCAGCTGATCCAAACCACCCCGGGCAGGGATGCTGAGGAGGAGGAGGAGAAGCTGGAGGCTTGAGTAGAATTGCTCATCACCGGAAGGATGGGGGGTGGGGAAGTTGGATCCGATTAGAAGGGGGCATCAGAGGTCCCTAATTCTAGTGGCTAGGCTGGTGGAGGATGCTGCTTCTGAAGACGGCCACTAATGTCAGCAAAAAACCAACCAACCAACCAACATCAAAACACAGAGGAGGAAGAGGAACAACCGAGCAGGGTGCACGTACAGTGGGGCAGAGGCGACAGACTTTAATAAATCTTTTGGAGGATTTTTTTCTGTATCTTGGACAACAAAAATAAATGGCAGATATCTTTTTCCTTTCCCACAATTTGTGAGATCGTTTGTGGTTGTGAAGAATCTTTCGCTTTCTCTCTCTCTCTCTCTCTTTATTTTGTTCATTTCCCATTTTTCTTTTGTTCTTGTCTTCCTCTGCCTCTCTTCCACTTTCTCTCTCTCTCCTACCAAATTCTATGTGTTGCAAAAAAAAAAAAAAGAAAAGAAAAAAATAGTTTTTTTTAAAAAAAAAAAATAAACACAACAAAAACTAACATAAAACCTAGACTGTGTTCAAAGTGCTGATTTCTCTAGGTGGTACAATTAATGTATGTGATGACCATATGGATTGAATTGTCTGCTTTATGTACTGACCAATCAAAAACAAAACAAACAAACAAAAAAGAACAAAAAAAAACCCAACAAAGTTCAGTGCCTGGATGTTTATGAATTATTGGATGAAATGTGTAGAGCATGATCATTTTTTTACGACGATCTTTCTAATAAAAGACCATGGTTTTGCACTCAGCATTTGTCTTTCATTGGTGAATGTCAGTGGCTAGCTTAAGGAAGGCTCTTTGGCTTCTTGAAAAGAAGGTGAAGAGGTGGCTTGATCAGGGTGAATAAATACCTGTGTGGGGAAGAGGGCTCGGATATCAAAGGGCTCTTTAATCTTCCAGACAATAGCAGAACAGGATCCAGAGACTGGGAGCTGAAATGAGATACATTCAGGCTGCAAATAAAGAGCACATTTTTAAGGGAGGGTTATTTCTAGAGCTTCTGTTCATCAAAATGCAGGACAATGTAGCACTTTAAAGACTAACAAGATGGTTTATTAGATGATGAGCTTCTGTGGGCCAGACCCACTTCCTCGGATCAAATAGTGGAAGAAAATAGTCACAACCAATATACCAAAGGATACAATTAAAAAAAAGTGAACACATATGAAAAGGACAAATCACATTTCAGAACAGGAGGGGGATGGGGGGGGAAGGAAGGAAGGTAAGTGTCTGTGAATTGATGATATTAGAGGTGGGGAGAGTGGGATGTCTGTGAGCTAATGGTATTAGAGGTGATAATTGGGGAAGCTATCTTGGTAATGGGTAAGATAGTTTGAGCGTTTGTTCATTCCTTCCCGGAGAGTGTCGAATTTTAACATGAATGACAGTTCAGAAGATTCCCTTTCAAGTGCAGATGTAAAAGGTCTTTGTAGCAGAATGCAGGTGGTTAAGTCATTGAGAGAGTGTCCTTTCTGGTTAAAATGGCAAGAAACTGTTTTTTCTTTGTGATCTTGTCTGATATCTGTTTTGTGGGCATTAATCCTTTGGCGAAGTGTCTGAGATGTTTGTCCAATGTACATAGCAGACGGACACTTTCGGCACATGATAGCATAAATTATATTTCTGGATGCGCAGGAATATGTGTTCTTGATCTTATAACTTACTTGGTTAGGTCCAATAATGGTATCAGCAGAATGAATATGTGGACAAAGCTGGCAACGGGGATTGTTGCAAGGGAAGGTACCAGGGTTGGTATTAGTGTGGTATGTCCTGTGGTTGTTGGTAAGAATCATCTTGAGGTTAGGTGGTTGTCTATAGGAGATTATGGGTCTGTCTCCCAGAGCCTCTTGGAGTATGGTATCCTGTTCCAGTATAGGCTGTAGTTTATTGATAATGTGTTGGACAGGTTTAAGTTGGGGGTTGAAGGTGATGACAAGTTGTGTTCTATTGTTGGTTTTCTTGGGTCTGTCTTGAAGTAGATGGTTTCTAGGTATTCGTCTGGCTCTTTCAATTTGCTTTTTTATTTCTCCGGGTGGGTAGTTGAGGTTTATAAATGCTTGGTAGAGATCCTGAAGCTTCTGGTCTCTGTCAGTGGGATTAGAACAGATGCGGTTGTATCGAAGGGCTTGGCTATAGACGATGGATCGTGTGGGGTGTTCTGGATGGGAGCTGGAAGCATGTAGATAACTGTATGAGTCGGTGGGGTTTCTGTAGAGAGTGGTGTCTAATTTTCCATTGTTGATTTGTACTGTGGTGTCCAGGAAGTGGATCTCTCGTGTAGAATGGTCCAGGCTGAGGTTGATGGTGGGGTGTAGGTTGTTGAAATCTCTGTGGAATATCTCCAGTGTTTCTTGGCCTGCATTTTGCTTCAGCTACCACAGACTAACACGGCTACATTTCTATCTCTGTTCATCAAGGTTTGATCATTTCACTAGGGGAGCGGGGGTGCTGACAATTTGGAGATTTAGGTAGATGACCAAAATCTGGGAGGGAATGGTTTCAGGACTTTCTCCTTGTATATTATATACATTGTTCATTGTAGCAGTGCTGTAATGAGTGATTTCTTTGTAGTGTCCCTTTGTGTTGTCACGTCGTAGTTTCACACAGCACTATGTTAAAATGCCCTAGGGAAGCTTTTAGTGTCCACCACCAGTCGGAAAACAAAGAAACCAATTAATGCACAACACGTTTGCAAGTTCTAGAAACCACATCCCTGTAGTCTGCATTACTGCTTTGTAGAGGCAAGCCCTGAGCTACAAAAAGCCAGTTCTGGTGATAAACACTGATTTGTGTTTGGTTTTGTGCTGGGGTATTTTACTGGTGTTTAGCCATTAAAACAGGAAATCGGAAGAACTCGTTGGAAATGGAGCAGGGTGCCTAGGATAGAGTGCGTTCTCCAGCAAGTGAGGATGTGAAATTCAAGCTCAGAGGTGAGATTTTCCAATGTATCCAAGTGATTTAAATGCATAAATTTCAAAAGGACTAATGCTTACGAGGGCACAGCTATTCTTTGAGCTGAGGTGTGATCACCAGCTTCTGCAGCCATACTCACAGTAGCTCGGAGAAGCCAGTGTGCTAAAAATAATGTGTCCATGGAGATGAATACTCAAGGGGGTGATAGAGGAGGTATCTGAGTCATCATCGATCATCTTTGAAAAGTCATGGAAGTTGGAAGAGATTCTAGAAGACTGGAAAAGGACAAATCTAGTGCCAATCCATAAAAAGGGAAATAAGGACAACCCAGGAAATTACAGATCAGTCAGCTTAACTTCTGTGTCAGAAAATTTGATGGAGCTCTTCCATTATGCAAACATTTGGAAGATAATAAGCTGATAAGTAACAGCCAGTATGGAGTTGTAAAGAACAAATCATGTCAAACCAACCTGAAAGCTCTCTGTGATAGGATAACAAGCCTTGTGGATAAGGGGGAAGCAGTAGATGTGGTATACTTAGACTTTACCAAAGCCTTTGATACAGTCTCACATAACCTTCTTATCAATAAACTAGGGAAATACAACCTAGATGGGACTACTGTAAGGTGGGTGTATAACTGGCTGAATAAGCGTTCTCAGAGAGTAGTTATTAATGGTTTACAGTCATGCTGTAAGGGCATAACAACTGGGGTTCCACAGGAGTCTGATTTAGGACCGGTTCTGTTCAATATCTTAATCAACGAGTTAGATATTGACATAGAGAATACGCTTATTAAGTTTGCAGATGATACCAAGCTAGGAAGGGTTGCAACTGCTTTGGAGGAAAGGGTCAAAATTCAAAATGATCTGGACAAACTGGAGAAATGGTCTGAGGTAAATAGGATGCATTTTAATAAGGACAAATGCAAAGAACTCCTCTTAGAAAGGAACAATCCGTTTCACACTAAGGCTGCATCTAGACTGGCATGATTTTCTGCAAATTCTTTTAATGGAAAAGTTTTTCCGTTAAAAGCATTTGCGGAAAAGAGCGTCTAGATTGGCACGGATGCTTTTGCACAAAAGCATTTTTTGCGGAAAAGCATCCATGCCAATTTAGACACGGTTTTGCGCAAGAAAGCCCTGATAGCCATATTCGCCATTGGGGCTTTTTTGCGCAAAACAGTTTTTACCTGTCTACACTGGCCCTCTTGCAGAAAAGCATTTGCGCAAAAGGGCTTTTTCCCGAGTGGAAGCATCATACTATTTGCGCAAGAACACTGACAATCTTACATTAGATCGTCAGTGTTCTTGCGCAAATTTAAGTGGCCAGTGTAGACAGCTGGCAAGGTTTTTCGCAAAAGCAGCTGCTTTTGCAGAAAAACTTGCCAGTCTACATGCAGCCATACAGAATAGGAAGTGACTGTCTAGGAAGGAGTATTGCAGAAAGGGATCTAGGGGTCAGAGTGGATCACAAGCTAAATATGAGTCAACAGTGTGACACTGTTCCCCCCAAAAAGGAAAAACATTCTGGGATGCTGTGACAGGGTATACCAACCCCACAATGGACCTACAAGGATTAATCAGGGTTACTGGCCGAGAGAGCCCTGCGCCCATAGCCCTGCTGGGCATGTTCCAGCAGGAGGCCAGATAGAAAGGCTGGTGGAGCAGCTTAGTATGGGCTGACTGCTGCTGAGGAAGAAAGTGTCACCAGAGCTCCAGAGGGATTGCTGGGGATAGACTGTACCACGGAGGTCAGTCAGTGGGGAGTGGCTGGAGAAGACCCCTGTCTGGAAGAAAGTGAGTCTGGAAGGTGAGGACGTAGCCTAGGGTGGAGAGTTTGATCCCTGAGAGCTTGGTGAGTTTTGGGTGGATTCCCTGCTAGAGCTTTGTAAGTCCCCGCTTGACAAAATCCTGGCTGTGATGATGTAGTTGGGGTTGGTCCTGCTTTGGGCAGGGGGCTGGACTTGATGACGCCTGAGGTCTCTGCCAGCCCTGGGATTCTATGATTCTATGAGCTAGTGGTGGGCTCCCTGGGCTGGGACCTGGTGGAGATGGTGGGCCTGGGTCTCCCTACCCCACTCACTAACCCCCATGGGGGATGCTACAACTGTGGTTAGTGACTTGAGCTGCTAGGCCATGGTGCCCTGTGTAAAGGGGTGTGGGTATTGACTTTGGGACTCTGGCCACTGGACCTCACTATCCTGAGGGAAGGGGATGGTTTACTGAATATGGCCACTAGGCAAGACCACCTCATTGGGGATGGGGTGTAGTGATTGGCCCTGAGCAATATTTAAGAGGCTTTAGAGGACTAACACCCTGCCTTTGAGGGGGGGCCAAGCACGCCCACCCTGTGACAGATGCATTAGCAGGGGTGTTGTGAGGAAGACATGAGAAGTCATTCTTCAGCTCTCCTCCATGCTGATTAGGCCTCAGTTGGAGTATTGTGTCCAGTTCTGGGCATCCCATTTCAGAAAAGATGTAGAGAAGGTCCAGGGAAGAGCAAAAAAAAAATATTAAAGGTCTAGAAACCGTGACCTGTGAGCAAAGACTGAAAGAATTGGGTTTGTTTAGTTTGGAAAAGAGGGGAGCTAATAATAGCTTTAAAGTACCTAAAAGTTGTTACAAGGAAGGGAGAGAAATTATTCTCCTTAAACTCTGAGGATTGGACAAGAAGCAATTAGTTTAAATTGCAGCAAGAGGTTGGACATTAGGAAAAACTTAGGCGGGGGGTTGTGGAATCTCCATCTCTGGGGATATTTAAGAGCAGGTTAAACAAACACCTTTCAGGGATGGTCTAGTGTAGGATGAAAATTTCTGAGGCAGGC